TTYATAATTACATTGGCCATTTGTAATTCGAATTCACCTTACATACTGTTCTCTTTAACCCATTATATTTTATTCCCAATGATACTAATAATGTCYGGGACTCTTAACATGCAAATGACAGTTTAAGTCTAGGTATCATGCTGTGAATACCTAAATCTCTTAAACTAAAGCTCTGATACCACTTCTGTAACACCCCCATACACYACATTTGCATAGAACACATATTTCATTACATAGAAACATGAATTACATYAAAARGTCCCACTAGTACAAGGATTATTATATGTACAAAATTTACATATAAAATTTCCAAAACAAATCCTGTACTACTACATGTAATATAACATGTATCTTCAAAAGCAGACAACAGGTTAGGAAAATAATCACATTTTCCYTTTCCCTTTTAYATCCCCGGACCCAGCTATTCCTGCATTGCATAATTTAAAACAGAAAATGAAGGTTAGACCATACGGGTCTAGTGAGTAAATCCCCTATTTGCAAATGCAGGGTGACAACCACCAAAATATGATAAGGTAATTTTGCTTAGAAATATACTGCAATACAGATAAATGATGCAGTTCACAACATCATGCAAATAGAAGTATATCCAAGAACCTCATTTCTATATAGTATCTCTGATTTGAGATTCAACCCTTCCAATATGAAATAACCAAAACTTCTTAAATCAATAAACCAATTCTTTGACAAATATAAACATAAAAGATTTAAGGCAATACKTGCCTGATATGACAAATCATTTTCCTCTTCTCAATAACATCTAGATTATTACTTCTAAATAGAAATAATATCTTTAATTCATCAGGTCACAAAGAAATGATGATTCAAAGTTATTAAATCCAATTTAGTAATAATAATAACAGTTATAATAATATCCACATATGATAATGCCACCCTTATTCCAAGTACACCTCTCCTTGATATGCCACCCTTATTCCTTCATCAAAACAGGGCTACTTATCAGAACAGACATAAGTCACCATGTCTGAAAGTACCCATTCCCAGTTCCAAGCCAGAACAGACAAAAGTCACCACGTCTGGGGGAACTACTATTTAAAACAGTGTTTCATACCAAAACAGACTTACGTCACCATGCTTGGTAGAAACGTTTCCCAAAATATAGTTTCGTATCAAAACAGACTTACGTCACCACGCTTGGTAGAAACATTTCCCAAAATCCCGTTCCAATACCAAAACAGACTTACGTCACCACGCTTGGTAGGAACATTTCCCAAAATCCCGTTCCAATACCAAAACAGACTTACGTCACCACGCTTGGTAGGAACATATCTTTTTATTTTAAAAAGATATAAAAAAATACCCATTTTTACAATCCACAATTAACCCCAATAATAGACATTTTATATCATATAAAAAAATGTATATAAAACTTATAAAAATTTCAAATCAAAAGATATCCGGATAAGATATCGCTTAAAGCTTATCCGGTTTAACACTTAAAATAATTTCTAACATATTTGTCCGGATAACATATCAGGTCAATACCCCGCTTAAAGCTTGAACGATTAACACTTAGAAATAAAATCATCTTTGTCTGGATAACAAGTCCGGACAACACTCCGTCCACCCTTTGTCCGATTTAAAACAATCCGGACAACACGTTATTCACCCTTTGTCCGACTTAATACTAATCCGGTCACTCTTGTCCGGTTTAACACTAATCCGATCACTCTTTGTCTGGATAAAACTTTAAACGCAATATATGGTTTTTGATTCAAATAATAAATAACATTCAACTAAAAACCAGTATAAATTTTTATGCCAAAAAGGTTTAGAAACCACTCMCCTTAACAAGCCGTTTGAAATCAAACACTTGAAATCAACCCTTTTGAAATCTGATCAACTCTTCCTCTTAAAACACACCACTTTCTTTCTCAGAAAAAAAAAACCAGAAGAAGAAAAAAAAGTGGGAGAGGGAGGGGCTTCACCCCCTTTATATACTCTCCAAAATTATGCATCCTACACATTCTCATGCACACATACACATCCACCTCATGCATCCTACACATCCACCTCATGCATCCTACACATCCACCTCATGCACCCTACACATCCACCTCATGCACCCTACACATCCACCTCATGCACACATACATACATACATATATATATATAATATTAAACACACACACACATATATATATATATATATATTAAACACACACACACACACACACACACACATATATATATATATATTTACATTATGCGTATATCCCTATGCATAAAAATACACATACTCACATCTTAAATTTACGTAAACACGTATCCATATAAACAATTAATTCACATAATAAATACCTTGGGTGATAACCTGGACTCAGTTATCACAGTAACCTTATGTGGTTATTATGTGAAATATGTGATAAACATGCATGTTATTTTAATATAAATGTGTAGATTGTGTGCATATGTGTGATAACGTGATATCAGACATACATGTGGAAATATTAAATGAGTATAGGCAGATATGTGGTAATATGTTATGTGAAAATATTATTATAACATATAAAACACAACCTTCATGGTTAAAAAAGGTTTGGTTTTTAAAATATTAATGATTCCACCGCCCAGGAGTTTTATATTGGTAAAATATCATCACCGCCTTAATTAGATGTATAAAAAGAACGAGATAAGATAAAAATCTTATCTTATCCTTTTGTTTTTGGAAAAAGAAGTATTTTGAGAAAGAAAATAGCTTCAGGCGGAAAAAGTGTTCTTGAAGAAGAAACTGTGTGCGGTTGAAAGATTTGTTGTGTGTTAAATTTGCAGAATCTATGATTGTTAAGGTGAGTCTTGATAAACTAAAACCTTTATATTTGTAGTTATATAAACTGTTGGGTTTTGAGGATTTGCGATTTAAAAATAGTTTGGTGAAATTGTTTTCTAACAGTTTGAACGTAGTATTTATGATTTTGGAGTTGGAAATTTGTTTTGGGAAGATGAAACAGTAATTGTGCTCTAAAACAGCTTTGGAAGATGATATTCTTTTTTAAAGGTTTTACAAGAAATTTGATATATATGAAAGAACAGATTGTTCTTGAGTTTGAAGGTTTTAATGATACAACTGTTTTTGGAAACCATTATTGGTTGAAAACTATAGAGGACATCTCATCAAGACGGTTGTGACTTCGGTCTGTCTTCATTTGGGATTAATCTATAGATTTTGATGAGGAAATAAGGGTGGCATATCATGGAGAGGTATACCATGGGATTAGGATGACATATCAAGGAGAGGTGTACCTTCGGCTATAAAGGTGACATATCAAGGAGAGGTGTACCTTTGGATATAAGGGTGGCAATTGAGTGTGGTTATTATAGCTCTTGCTATTTTATCTTTTAAGATTACAATAGATTTAAGTTCTTACTTCTTAGTGATTTGAAAACTCAGAGATGTTGTTCTTACTAGAAATGATAATATTGATGTTATTGAGAAGGGGAAAACTTGGCCTATGGCCAATGGTTTTGGATAAAAGTGTTTTGGAACAAACATTCATTTTGTGAGGAATCAAAGGGGCTCTGGTTGTTCCTCGAAAGGTACAAGAGGGGCCCTGGTTGTTCCTCGAAAGGAACCAGAGGGGTCCTGGTTGTTCCTCGAAAGGAACCAAAGGGGCTCTGGTTGATCCTCATTATAGAACTAGAGGGTTCTGGACGTTGATCTAAGAAATTATGCAAGTCTTTACTAAATGGTTTAGTTGGGCCAAAGGCTCTGTATCTATTAATAAGAGCTTCTGTGTCAAAATCATATTTTAAGAATTTTCAAGAAAGGGTTTTATACTTAGGATGTTTTCTTACAAGTAAGATGGACCAGAAGATCTAGTCGGTCTTGCATTTTGGACCAGAAGCTCTGGTTGGTCTTGCGTTTTGAGCCTGATGCTCTGGCTAGTAAAACCAGAGCTCTGGTCATACAAGATCTTTTGAAAAACGTGTTTTTATCTTTGGAAAAGCTATTTTACTATCTATGAGATTGATCTATGAATTATTTAAGAATTTCCACTGAATAAGAGGTTCTGGCTGGCTTAACTAGAAGCTCTGGTGGAGGAACTAGAGGAGCTCTAGTCCTCTTGTTTGTTGAAATATCTTCTAAGTCTGTCTATGGAACAGAGGTCCGATGGACTCAAACAGATTATGAATTTATATATTAAGATAGGAAATGATTTTATTTGAATAAATGTTTTCGGTGGTTATCACCTTGCAACTACATGGAAAAATGGAATCTCACTAGACCTCTAGGTCTAACCCTCAATTTTGTATTTTCAAATATGTGTTGCAGGAAATGCAGATTACAATCATAGTAAAGGAAAATGGAAAATGTGAATTATTTCCCTATGTGCTTAGCTTTATGAAGATCATTTTTGAATGTGTATTGGAGAATAGATGTTAGGGATACAAGAGCATGCATTATGAAATTTTCAAGTTGTGTATTTTGTATTGTAGACTCTTGTATTATGGACCTTTGTGGGATTACACATGTATTCAATGAATTAAATAAGTGTTATATGCAATGTGAGTTTTGAGGGTGTTACAAGTATACTATTGATTTTTTTTTTGAAAGGAAACCAGGCAAATTTATAAACTAGATAAAAAAGGAACAACGGACAGGCAAAAGTTTGACCACAACCTACAAGGTATAAAACCCAAAAGACTTGGCCAACACCCCATACCAAGCCACAACCAGCCAAAAGGAACAAAGCCCAATAGACTCAAACAAGCAACAAAAAATAGAATAGAGGAGCAACCACCACAAAGAAGTCCCCCAATCCCAGACACGATCTACCATATCAACCGACACTTGTCACAGGCTGCCTCGTCATCCAATCCGCACGAATGGAAATAGAATCATGAATAACTTTGATAAGTTGCAAAGTTGTGCGGCTTTCCTCAGTAAAGATACGCCTATTTCGCTCCTGCCAAATATAAAAAACAGACGCTGCCACCGCAAGCTTCTGCTTTAAACATTATTAGCGTCGTCTTGAATCCGAAATAGTTTCCAAAATAAGATCCCACGTAGAAGGCATATCCGTCAGGTCCGTGATGTGCAAGATACTATCCCAAACTTCACGAGCATAAGGACACTGAAAGAACAAGTGGGAATGGCTATCCATACAAAGTCTACAAAGCGAGCATTCTAGATTCGGTGGTTCATCCTTCCAAAGCATACGATCTTGTGTAGGAAGACGCCTCTGGCAAGCAAGCCACAAAGAGAAGGCATGCTTAGGGATATGGCCAGAGAACCAAACCGCTTTGTGCCAAGGAACAACCGGGTGAGATCCCTCTAAAGAAGCCCAAGCATTACTCACCGTGAAGTCCGAAGCAGTAGTGTGATCTTCCCCCCAAAGAACTCTGTCACGAACTGAATCACTCAACGAGGGAAACGGAGAAGAATGCAGCTCAGCAAACCTGCTACTCCAATCATCCGGCCAAACACCGTCCCAACCCATTAGAAGCTCCCGAACCGTCGTAAAAGTTGAGAACCCACAAGAATGGACAAACCGGTAAGTGATAAAAGCCGAAAGATGACCGCAGGAAAGCCAACCATCCTCCCACGCATTTGTATCCCGACTATCACCAACCTGGGAAAACAAAAATCTTCGCAATTGGCTACATAAGTCCAACAGCTTGTGAAAGACCCACGACCAATTTGAGCTTTTCCTTACCAGCCAGAAGTGAGAGGAGCGAAGATTATGACTATGCACCCAACACACCCACAGAGAATCCTGATGCCTCACAATATCCCACACATGTTTAGCAAGTAAAGCTCTATTCCAAGTGGACAAACGCTTAATCCCAAGGCCTCCAGAAGTAAGAGGTCTGCAGACCACATCCCAAGATAATCTACATCTACCACGAGGATCATCCCTTGGAGACCAAAGGAATTTCCTAAAAATAGATTCTAGATCATGGATTACCCCAGACGGGAATAAGAACACCGACATCCAATGAAGTTGGAGGGATTGCAGGACCGATATTATGAGCTGACGTCGTCCTCCAAAAGATAGAAACTTGGACTTCCAATTAAGAATGCAACCCTTCACCATAGCTATTAACGGAGCATAATCACATAGCTTCAGCCGAGCCTGAGATAAAGGGACCCCCAAGTATCGGACAGGAAACGAGCCAAGCTTGAAAGGGAGACGCTCTAGAATGGCCTCCTTAATGTTAGAAGGCACATTCCCAAAGTAAATTTCACTTTTTTCGAGGCTTGGGGCTAAACTTGAACGACTCTGAAAAAGAAAGAGTGCCTTTTTTAGCACTTCCACCGAAAGAACATCCCCTTTAGTAAAGACAAACAAATCATCAGCGAAACAAAGATGTGTCAAATCCAGCTCCTCACAACCCCGGTGGTACCCAAAATTAGCTGCTTCCCGAATACAAAGCTTAAGGAGCATAGAAAACCCCTACATCACAATCGTGAAAAGATAAGGGGATAAAGGATCCCCTTGTCTAAGACCCCTCCTTCCATGAAAAAACCCATAGGAATTACCATTGATCACAAGTGAATAAGACGTGGTGGACACCATCTCCCTTATCCACTTGACCAGAACCGGATGGAATCCTAAACCTTGAAGCATAACAATGAGAAAGCGCCAGTCCACAGTATCATAAGCTTTTTTTATATCAATTTTGAACGCACACCTAGGTGGGCCCAACGAGGACTAGTACCCGGAAACAAGCTCCTGTGCCATAAGAATATTATCCGTAATCCTCCTACCCGGAATAAAAGCTGATTGGGCTTTATCAATTAAGGAATCCAACGATCCCTTCATTCTATTAACAATGACTTTACTAATGCATTTGTAAAGCACTGTACAGCAAGCTATAGGCCGGTAATCCAAAACCCTAGATGCATTAACAGATTTAGGGAGGAGATAGATAAGAGTATGATTCAAATTCTTCGGGAGGTTACCTCGATAAAAAAATTATGGATAGCAATCTCCACATCACGACCAACAATATCCCACTGCTTTGAAAAACTTGGAAGAAAACCCATCAGATCCAGGAGCTTTATAATTACCAATGCTAAACATAGCATTTTTAATTTCGTCATTTAGAATCGGTCGGATCATGTAGTTAGCTTCCGATAAAGAGAGCTTTCTCGTGAAGGCGTCTTCAGGCATAAACGGATCAGGGGAAACATACCTCATACCCAAGAAATCTTTAAAATAATCAACGAACACTTTCGGGACATCTTCACCATAGATGTAATCACCACCACCAGAACAGACCGCATGAATGGAGTTGGAGTGATGCCGCTCTTTGATCACCTTATGGAAGAATTTGGTATTCATATCACCATCATTCAACCATTTAATTTTGGCCCGTTGCTTAGCAGCACATTCCTCGTCCCAACAAGCATTCTGATGCGCAGTACGGATAAGACCAAGCTCAAGTCCCAACTCGTCATTAGAAGGGTCTTTATCGACATCCAGCTGAATACGATCTAATTCAGTCTTCAAAAAAGAGACACGTTTTCCAAGGTTACCATAAGAATTCCAAAGTTTACGAAGTGGAGTCTTGAGAGCCTTCAAGTGAGAAGTAACTCGAAACATAAAAGTGCCCTCAATATGTTTAGCCCATTCGTCCTTAACAACTTGTAAAAAAGCTGAGTGGTCAGTCATGAAACTGTCAAATTTGAAACTGTACCTCTTTTTTCGAGCGTCGCCTTTGAAAGATAAGACCACCGACGAATGGTCCGAAAGGCCCGAAAGATGAAACTGAACACTGGCATCATGGAATTTAGAACTAAAATCTGAATTAGCCATAGCCCTATCGAGTTTGCGCAAGATAACCCCCTTTAGAGTTTCTTTTGGTTCCAAGTGAAATGGACACCTGTGTAGTGTAGGTCAAAAATTTCAACATCCTCAACGCACGTAAAAAAGTTTGACATATCCGCATTACGTCGAGAAGACCCACCAAACCCATCATGGGGAAATAACATGGTATTGAAGTCCCCCATTACAATCCATGGATGGGGACCAATTAGAACTTTAAATTTCTTCAATCCCGACCATAATTCTCTTCTAGCACTACACACATTAGCCCCATAAACCAGAGAAAGGAAAATATAATCTTTGCCACCCCGTAAAAATACCTTACAATTTAGGAATTGATTATGGGCCTCCAGGACCATAACATCTAAAGCTCGTGGATCCCATGCTAGGATTATTCGAGTTCCAGACTTACACACATCATGATTAGACATCCAATTCCATCCACCAAAAGAATTAGGGCAAACACTTTCTAGGGAATCCTTAGAAACGTGCGATTCTACAATGGCACACCAACACAAATCATTACAATGAATAAAATTTCTCACCTCTTTTTGCTTAACCGGAGAGTTGAGCCCCCGGATATTCCACGAAGCAAAGTTCAACATGATGAAGAGGTTGGAACATCCCCTTGACCCCTATTATCCTCATCCCCAAATCGTACAACATGATCTTTTTCAGCACCATCATGAGAGTCCAATTGAGAACCCCCTCCCCCTAACTGCTCAAGAACACCAAATCTGTTGGAAGCTTCCACAGGGTCTTTCATAACCCCCCTTCGAGGCAAACGGAAGTTTTTGTTCACAGAAGAAAGGAGAGGAGCAGATGTAGACATAGGGTTAGTAGATAGGGAGGATAGGGAAGAAGAGGCCACAGGAACTACATTCATACCTGAATCACCAGAAGCATTCCTCACAATATTTCCATGATGAACAACCGGGACAACATCCGAGGAACCCATAATCCTTTCCTTCTCCTGTTCACGTCGTGAATTATTCGCTACCATGGACGAAGCATGAGGACAAGACTTGTCACTCTCATTAACCTGTCGGGCATCAGGATGATTGGGCTTACCTCCAGATTTGGTGCGCCATTGTTTTTTCTCCACTCTAATAAATCCTTCTGAGTCTTTTCTCACATCTACATGCTTCCCTTTATTGAGACTAGCGACTTTAGCACAGGACGAGATTTTGTGACCAAAAATTTGGCAATGGGAACATTGAACTGGTTCCCACAAATATTCGACCTGTATTTGTACACTTTCAGCATCCCCTCCATTTAGGTTTGGAATTTCAACCTCTATTTTCCTTTTTAGTTCACCAATAGCCCAGACCTCAACCAACACTTTGGCAAACCCTGGCCGACCCCAAGCCTTCTCACACATTGCAGCAGTACAAGAATCCATCTGCTTAGGGACTCCCAATACACTCGATATACGACTAACACCCTCTCTATTGAAAGCAACTAGAGGAATGTTATGCAAAATCACCCATAACGGACAAGAGGAGTGTTCCGGTTTCCTCAATCCCTTAGAGGGATCCCAACGATGAACAAAAAGCGGAATACCCCTACTCATCAAGGGGCCAGCCTCAATCACCTGATCACATCCACCCACATCATTAAATTTAAAGAAAAAAAAATACCATTCTCATTTAACATCGCATCAGAAAAGCCAAATTTTCCCCAAGCCGATTTGACAAAAAATTTCACAACGGGGAAAGGAATACGAGGGCCTAAGAAATATCCATACAAGACCGAGTTATAAGCTTTCGCAGCTTCTTGAGCCATTTCAATGGGAATTTTCACACTTGCTTGATTTTTGTCAGCAAGTGGATAAAAACTCTAGTTCGTATTCTCAGATCGACCAACCGCCTTAGCAAAGTTAAGATTTGAACGACTACCACCTTCCAAACCATTAACTTGAATACCATGCAGAGAATTCTCAATAGAAGAGAGTCTCTTAAAAACACCCTATTAGGGTCAATAGTTAAAGTTTCGTCCATCCACCCGCAAACTATAGCCCAAGCAACTCACAAAAATCGATGGCAGCCCCTAAAGGACAGCAACAGATTTTAATAAACTCTCCAACACAACCTGCAGCTTAACAATCAAAACCGCAGCCAGCAGAAGGAAAAGGCCAAACAGCAGTGCAAACAGAAGCATAAAACAGAAAAGACCAACACAAAATGCAGTCACCAAAAACTCGCCCAACAGCAAAAGAAGAGAACAACTTCAAAACTGTAACAACCCTCATAATCCCATATACATAAAATTTACATTATCATACTCATAATACTAAAAATAGTATTATTACAAAACAGGGACTAACAAAATGTATCTTTAATACATATATAAACAAACTATTATCATCATTATACTTTTCTTTTGCCCTTATCTTGCAAAGTACGCTGACCTGCAAAACAAGTTAGTCCAACAACTGAGCGTTAGACCAAAAGGTCTAGTGAGTGTATAAATCTCATACAAATAATATACATTCCAAACAATCACTTTAGAATCAAACCTGTTCTGAAACATAAATATATTTATGTTTCTCACTCGCGGTTACA